CTGAAAAGTCCAAGAACTTTTGCCTGAAATCAGGGACCAGACTGCTGTGTGCAGTGACATTCTCATTTTTTTATGTACACATACCAAACAACAGAATTATCGCAAAGTATCCAAGAATTTGAAATGAAATGCTACATGACCATGTGTTGTAGAGTAGTTTTCACAGTGGAGGCTTGTATTTTCACTAAGTCGGTCCTAAATTAGGTTCGACGTACAAAACGTTAGGAACTTGAAAATAATAGTTAATGACGCAGCAATCTAGTTGTGGTCGTTGATACTTCAATGTCCGACATCGACTGACTCACTCAACTCCACTGAGCCCAACTGGCGACCGCGACTACTACTACTACTTATTATGTGTGGGAGAGTCTATTACAATAGAATAGGTAATGTTCTGGTATAACACCATCTTAGATATCTTCTACGTAGAGGGCATCACAAAAAACGCAATGTCATCAGAAACGAGACAGTCCTGTCGGAAGACCGCATAACCACCGTCAAGATGAGAAAGTTGAAATACTATTGGCACGTCATAAGAGCCAACAATCTTTCCGTAGCTATCCTAGAAGTTGTCACCTCAAGCAAAAGAAGAGTCAGATAAAGGAAAAGATGGGGGGGCAACGTCATTGAGTGGGACTGAAATATCATTCACAGAGACTCATATCATTGGTCATAATGTTTTGCCGCATCAATGTAGATTGATGGCGGATGTTTCATTTCCTACAGTTTATTGCGCGTTGTACTTAAGTGTGAAGGTCTGCAATGACCAAAGGTGACTTTGAAACCAAGGCATGCAGTCTATAATGACCGTTAATGATTACAACAAAAATCTGAGAGAATAATAAAATCAATATATAACATATTTAAAATTTATTTATTTGTAAATTAATTCAATTCTTCGTTTCTTTCTGTCAAATTCATCGGTCACTTTACAGTAGAAAATATCAGCACCATACGCTACCATCATCTTCTTTTAAAAAGGCGGGGGGGTGGCTTTTATTCGTAGAAATTAAAATCAAATGACCGAATCTTCACTTTGAGAACAGGAGGAAGCAGCTAACGTTACTGCTTTTTTAATTCTTTTCTCTCACACTCAAATTTACCTCTTTAACCGCCTTTCAATCCTTTTCTCCACATTCTTTGTGCCTGCTCATAGAACTTGCACGGGAGTGGTATATGGAAGCGGAAGTATTCTCTGCTTATACTACTCTGTTAATATCTCTTGTTCACAATTTATCCAACGAAATGAACAAGTGGGATTTTTTTTTTAAATATCACGAGTGCAAAGAGCATAGTAAAAATTATCAATATGTATTTTTTTTTTCACAAAATTATCCTAGGAAAAAACGAAGACATATAATGTATACGTTACATGCATGGACCCTTTGCCTGGTTTGTAGAGACATGATTCCCAAACAGTGCCTATTCATTACACTAAAATGTGGCGGGTAGCGTAACAAGTATAATTACAGAAAACGGATTCAGCAAACCGAGTTCGAATTTCGGCTAAGGTATCATGTACTCGTTTACCTAGCAGTAATGCTTTTAGAAAAGGGCCTGGACACATATATCCCTGGAAGATGACTTGTGAAAAATATCTTGTCTCCTGTATGCTACGACAGTTGATACAAAGAGAATGAGTGACTGAACACTTGGTTAAATCACTCCCCTATAACTAACAACCAAGCAGTAATAAGTGCGCAATGTTGTTATACTCATTGTCGGCCTTGACAAGAGGCTGACATATTTCTGTTTGAAAAATTTTTTCAATTAAGTTAAAAAAAAAAAGAACGTCTGCTATACAAAACTCGTGTTTCTGGGAGTTATCCTTCATTTTTTGTTTGTTTTTCTTACTTTTTTATTTTTGTTGTTGTTTTTACTAATGTTCGCCTAAGAGCCACCCAAGGTAGAGGGCTACTGAATGAGATGTGTGTTATGGACATAAGTTGTTAAATAATAGTTTCAGACTATTATTTTTAATGGCAGTGTATTTTGGCTCAGACCTTCTGGGGCTGACCTTTAAGGTCAAATGATAGACAAAATAGGGAAGTCGATTTTGATTGGCTGAGTCGAACGTGGAAAAGAGTTATCGATTAAAGTTTTTCGGGAGCTGCGGTTTGGACGTCAAGCTAACTAGACGTGTCGTGCAAAAACTGAGTGGGGAAGGGTCTTTCGAGAGTTGGCTGTTACACCTCAAAGAAAATAGACGTGTGAGATTTTCGTGGCTCCCTAATAGGAGGTGTAGTAACCTCCACTTGAGAAGTTGTACCCGTCGACGTGGTTAATAAAATAATAGTAAAGTTAAAAGATCTCTTTGTTGATGTTTTTAATTTCTGTACCCAAAGAACATTTCTCGACATGGAACAAGAGAAGATGTTCGAGCTAAAACGACCAGCGATCACCAACCAGACGAAATGAGACCAACCGAAACGCACACCACCACTAACCACCCCCGCCCCCGCACAATGAAGACTATACAACAAAGTGGGTGATGCGGAAAGTGCAGATTATGATGATATGAAGGTTAGATAACGCTTGACTCTGGACATGAAATGGTTCGGAATGTAGTGTTCGGGGAAGCATCCACGTGGGAGTTTGGGAAGAAGCTGTCTGAGTGGCACTTCCTCCTTACAAATTAAATACGAAGAGAGTGGTGGTCATTCAATAATTTTGTTAATAACAGAGACTTCATTTTTTTTTATTCTATCATGACTCTTTATTTTCACATGTTTTTTTACAAATGGCGGAGTCTTTGCATTTGTTTGTTCTTGCGGGCTTTGCATGATTTCATATCGCACTTGTATGGACTGATGGGAATTTATTTATTCTGATGTTTGACTAAGATTCGTATTTGTTTAACAATACAACACTGGGTAAATGAAAGTCATGTCGATTTTACATTCGATGAGAAACCCACCCACTGAATGAACATGTGGAAGTGTGACGGGTGAAAATTTGGTCCTGTAAAATATTCAATCCATCCACAAAGAACAAAGAAAAGAAAAGAAGAAAGCAGATAAAGTGTAAACCCAATTTTTTATAATCCAGAAACTATTGAGGTGATTTACTCATTTTTTTGTTTTTTTAGTCTAGTTTCTATTTATAAAAACAGTTTCCGTGCGACAGGAAATACACCAGAGGCGGACTAACTTTTGATATGTTGTTCTTGCATTTATACCAGGCGTGCGGGCGCAGTAACGGACACAAAATGCTCGCGAATATTTAACAAAAAACTGCTCGGCTCAATTTGAATGTGAACTACTTGAAGATTATAAGATTTCTAATAAATTAATAGCTGTACCTGGTTAAAAGATGGTTAAAATTTCAGATGAATAATTTGATATGCGTTTTATATGCTGTGTAATTTTTATCATTCTCCGTAAATTATAAATTGTTGCAGGCTCTGCTCTTAGTTAAACTAAAAGCAGTGGCAACAATATTTTGCACATGTTAGTGATGACTCTAAGGAAATAGAATGAATTTCAACAGAGCAATTTTTTATTTATTTTCTTATATAATTGAATAAAAACAGGGAAAATACACGAGTATTTATGCGAAAGAAAAGTGACATTAAAACTGAATAAGTGTGCGTGTGTGATATATGTGTGTGTGTGTGCAAAAGTTCAGTAAACCCTGGGAAATATATCCCCATTCTGGCGACCAAGGTCCTGTTAGAATGACTTCTACCGCATGCTAGAATGAAAAGAGAGAAAAAAGTCCCGTTTAATAGCTGCTTGACAGCGCCCTCTAACGACTTACTGGAAAAACTGGCGAAGCTTTGTGGGGGTAACCCACAAAGTTAACTGAATTTTATTTTCATTTGGTATTCGCATTGTATCTTCTTAAGAATTTTCAATAAAAAGATTTTTTTATTTTGTCTAAAACTGATGAATTAATAGAATATGATGTAATAACGTGTCCGCTAGAACTTGAATATGTCAAATTTGTTCATTTTACTAAAATTTAATTTGTATAAATTTTTATATTTTTATTCACAAGCACTAGATACTTATACGTTTTTCTCGGAGTAATTTAGTTATCAGTACCCTACTGTAGGTTACCCAGCTCGATATACACCTGAGGAAGCCCGGGGTCAAAGGTCCGAATATAATTAGTCTAAATAATTCTACCCTGCTATTGGAAATAGACAACAAACAAAGAAACAGTCTATCTCAAATCTTTTTTTTTTTTAATTTTTTTTATATTCGTGGGCTGATTGTACCGAAAGATGCCTTTCAGTAATTCCATTTTTATTTTTCAACAATATGTCTGGTGAGTATATAACTTTCTCAGCCGACATCCTAACAACCGTATGCCATTTTAGTTTCTGGGCTTCAATTTTTTTTTTTATGTCGACAGACAATTTGCAGATGGCTTAAAAGGAGCTTTTAGTTTGTTTCACTGCAATTTCTTCGATAAGTTCTGATGATGTTGATTGTCAACGGTAAAGAAAATGGAATGCTTCAAGGTAACGGTCAGCTTTCCCAGTTAATTGCTAATCGGTTAGAAATAAGATGAAGACGGGATAGGGGAAAGAGAAAAGCAAGGAGACGGTTGTTTCTCTTCATACTCTTTTTCTTTCACTTCCTCGAAAAGAGCGAAAGGAAAAGAAATAAGACAATGTAAACAAAATGGTGGAAGCCGCGGTAAAAGTGAGAGAAAGAAAAAAAGGTAACGATGAAGATGAAGGAATATAGAATGAAAATAAACAATAGGAGGAGAAAGGATTGACGAATTGTGAACATTCATCATTCTCTTCCTCCTCGTATTGTTTATTTTCATTCTATATTCCTTCATCTTCATCGTCATCTAGTAAGGATAGAGAAAAAGAAGAAACGAGAAAACTGATGAAGAAGAAGGAAAAGAAAGGAGCAAAGAGGGGGGAAAACAAGAAAATAGGAACGTGTATCTCGTCGAAGGAAAACAATATAGAAGAGTTGGGGGTTAGAATTGAATAGAAGGGAAATAGAAAAATAATAAGAGAAACTAAAGAAGAAAATTCATGGATAATTGGAAGGGGAGATAAGCGAGATGCATGATAGAAGCTGCAATTGACAAGCATTAAGTAATAATAATAAGAAATAACAGGGAAAGTAAAAACAGAAAAGGAAAGACGAGAATAAAAATAATTCGAAGAAAGAAACGTGAACATAGAATCTGAAAGGAGAATATGAAAAGAGAGAATGTAAAAAGAAGAAGAAGGAAAGAGGCGGGAACAAAGAAGCTGAAAAGAAAAACTTGGACAGAAGACGGTGGATGAGAAAAAACGTGATTGAAGAGGAGAGAAAACAGAATCTAGAAGGGGAAAAGAAGGAAGTTAGAGGCGGGAAGGAAATTGGGAAGCAGAGGCAAAAAGAAAAAAGTAGGAAGAAAGAAGGCGGAAGGAAAAAGTGGAAATGAACAGGCTTCAAGGAAATGGCTGGGAGAAAGAAGTCGGGAAGAGACGGGAAATAAGCGTGAGAAGGAAGAAACGGAAAGGAAATAACATAAAAATACAAGTAGGAAAGAAGAAACGCGGAGAAAGAGGCGAAAAAGAAAAAAAACGGACGGAAGCAGAAGTAAAAGGCAAGAATAAAGAAGGAGTGGGAAGGGAGAGGTCAGAAGGAATAGGTCGAAAGTATGAAGTGGAAAGGAAAAGGTAGAAAGAAACAGTGGGAAGGAAAAGGATAGCAGGAATCGGTCGGAAGAAGAAAGTAGAAACGAAAAGGTAGAAAGAATAAGTGGGAAGGAACACGCAAGAAGGAATAGGTCGGAATGAGGAAGTGGAAAGGAAAAGATAGAAAGAAACAGTGGGAACGAAGAGGTGAGATGAAACAGGTCGGAAGGAGGAAGGAGAAAGGAAAAGATACAAAGAAAAAGTGGGAAGGAATAGGCGAGAAGGAATAGGTTGGAAGGAGGAAGTGGAAAGGCAAAGATAAAAAGAAAGAATCAGAAGGAAGAGGCGAGAAAGAATAGGTCGGAAGGAGGAAGTGGAAAGGAAAAGGTAGAAGGAAAGTGTGGGAACGAAGACGTGAGAACGAACAGGTCGTGAGAAGGAAGTGTAATGGAAAATGTAGAAAGAAACAGTGGGAACGAAGAGGCAGATGGAACAAGTTAGAAGGCGTAAGTGGAAAGGAAAAGATACAAAGAATAAGTGGGAAGGAAGAGGCGAGAATGAATAGCTCGGAAGGAGGAAGTGGAAGGAAAAGATAGAACGTAAGAGAAGGGAGGAAGAAGCGAGGAGGAATAAGTCGGAAGGAGGAAGTGGAAGGAAAAGATAGAAAGAAAGATTGTGTAGGAAGAGACGAGAAGAAATAGATTGGAAGGAGGAAGTGTCCAAGAAAAGGTAGAAAGAAAGAGTGCGTAGGAAGAGGCGAGAATGAATAGGTCTGAAGGAGGCCGTGGAAAGGAAAAGGTATAAAGAAAGAGTGCGTAGGAAGAGGCGATAGTGAATAGGTTGGAAGTAGGAAGTGGAAAAGGAAAAGGTAGGAGGAAAGAGTGGTAAGAAAGAGGCAAGAAGGAACAGCTTAGGAAGAAAGAAGTGAAAAGGAAAAGATAGAAAGAAAGAGTGGGTAGGGAGTGGCGAAATGGAATAGGCCGGAAAGAGGGAGTGGGAGGGAAAAGATATAAAGGAAGAGTGGTAGGAACTAGCGAGAAGGAAAAGGTCGGAAGAAAGTAGTAGAAAATAAAAGGCAGAAAGAAAGTGTGGGAAGGAAGAGGCGATAACGAATATGTCAGAAGGAGGAAGTCGAAAGGAAAAGGTAGAAAGAAGTAGGAAAGGAAGTGGCGAAGAGGTGAGAAGGAATAGGAAGAAGGAAGGAAGGTAGAAGGAAGTGGAAAAGGAATAAAAAGAAAAGTAAAAAGAAAGAGTGGGAACGAAGAGGTGAGAAGGAATAAGTAGGAAGAAGGAAGCGGAAAGGAAAAGATAGAAGGAAAAAGGGAGTAGGAACAGGCGAGAAGGAATAGGTCGGAAGGTGGAAGTGGAAAAGGTAAAAAAAGGTGGGGAACGAAAAGAAAGAATAAGTAGGAAGGGAACGAAGAGGGAGAAAGAATAAGTAGGAAGAAGGAAGCGGAAAGGAAAAGATAGAAGGAAAAAGGGAGTAGGAACAGGCGAGAAGGAATAGGTCGGAAGGTGGAAGTGGAAAAGGTAAAAAGAAAGAGTGGGAACGAAGAGGTGAGAAGGAATAAGTAGGAAGAAGGAAGCGGAAAGGAAAAGATAGAAGGAAAAAAGGAGTAGGAACAGGCGAGAAGGAATAGGTCGGAAGGTGGAAGTGGTATGGAAAAAGTAGAGAGAGAGTAGGAACGTAGAGGCGAGGAGGAAGTGGAAAAGAAAAGTTAGAAAGAAATAGAAGGAAGAGGCGAGAAGAAACAGGTCGGGAGAAGGACGTGGAAAGGAAAATGTAGAAAGATAGAGAGGGAAGGAAGCGGCCAGAATAAATAGAACGTAAGGAGGAAGTGGAAAGGAAAAGTTAGAAAGAAACAGTGGGAAGGAAGAAGCGAGAAGGATTTGGTCGGAAAGTGGAATTGGAGAGGAAAATGTACAATGAAATAGTTGAAAGGGAGAGGAGAGAAGGAATAGGTTGAAAGTGGAAAGAAAATGATAGGAAGAATGAGTGGGAAGGAAGATGCGAGAGGGAATGGGTCGGTAGGAGGTAGTGGAAAGGAAAACTTATGATGATAGAGGGAAGGAAGAGCCTAGTAGGAATAGGTTGGAAAGGCAGAATGAAAAAGTGGGAATATTCGAGTAGGAATAGGACAGAAGGAGGAAGTGTGAATGAAAAGTTAGAAAAAAAGTGTCTGAGGGAAGAGGCGAGAAGGAATATGTCGGGAGGAGGAAGTGGAAAGGAAACGGTAGAAAGAAAGTGTGGGAAAGATGGGACGAGAAGGAATATGTCGGAAGGGAGAAGTGGAAAGGAAAGGAGAGAAAGAAAGTGTGGGAAGGAAGTGACGAAAAGAAAACAGTGAAAAAGTGCAAGCTGAAATAGGCGAGAATATATTGGCGGGAAAGTATAGGCGGTAGGAAAAAGGAAAACTGGACATCGAAAAAATTTGTGAATCTTTTTCAATTTTTCCAAATGGAGTTGAATCGATCGCAGTCATGGCGTAAACACACACTTGTACACACGTTTGTTCAATAGTGTACTCAGACGTATAAGATCTCGTATTTGTTTATGCATTTAAATATAGACACACATTTCGATGTGTATATCAGTGTATTTCTGAGTGTGCATTCATGCATCTGTGTATATACTCTTATTGGTTACTTGATTTTGTGAAATATATATATATATATATATATATACACACACACACACACACACACATATATATATCACATACATATATATCACACACACACACATATATATATATATACTCACACACACACACACATATATATATATATATATGTGTGTGTGTGTGTGTGTGCAATTCAACAACAATAAGAAAGATTATATTTCATCGGAAAACTATTAACTATGGTAATACTGGAAGATAACGTCTTCCAGGCAAGCAGTCTTTAGAATTAGAGAGTGTCATGTCGAGGGATAGACCGTTTATAATAATAAATAAAATAATGTATATTTATTAAATTATCTTACGACTGTCTCTGAATTTTCCGGAATTACTTCCACTCTTCAGAAGATTTGATGGTAACTCCAATATCTATCTATCTATATATATATATATATATATATATGTGTGTGTGTGTGTGTGTGTGTGTGTGTGTGTGTGTGTGTGTGTGTGTGTTGAACACACCCGCCCTAGATACCCTACTTGTGCCTGTGCCTTCGATCGGTGACTTTTGAGACCAGCCTGAGATCCACGCAACATTCCACGTTCAGGACAAGGAACAGCACCCCTTGAAAAGGCTACACGTATGTTATTGCTTAGTTTTCTGCCTTGTCATACGTAAACGTTCAATGCGTGATCTTTCATGAGTTATAAAGTATTTTATGCAAACACTCCTCCTCTTTTTACAGTGGTGTTCACTCAGTACAGGGCCCAGGGGTCACTCCAGGAGGAAAGGTTACAGAGTAAGAGGTTAAATCCTAGATTGAACAGGTTAATATTGTCGTGATCGAGGAAGCAGCCTCTTAGGAATTGATTGAAGCGGTTCATGGAAAGAAGTTGCTTAAGTGTAACTTCCATCTCATCAGGAGAGGACACGAAGGGTATGAAGGGTATGAAGGGTATGAAGCCACTTCCTCAAAGGACGACAAAGGGATGTCAATAGAATTTAAGTTTTTGCTCAAGTTTCTCCCCGTACCTGAACAGCGGTGTTCTCACTTTCAGAGAACCGTCATACTGTACATCAGGATTTTCGGTGTCCTTTCATATCTCATGAGTAAAACATGACCAACCAAGCGGAGCAGTTTGTTTCTGAGGCGTTAAAATCAACAAGCCCCCCACCACACACTATATATAATTATTTATTTAAAAATATGATTCCAGCACTACATAAGAGTTCTCATGTTTCAAAACAAGAGCCGAAAACGTCAATATAATTATTTGAATTAAATTGAATTAAAGTACTAAGCTCTGTTCCATCTTCAAGCGAAATTTTTACTGGAATAACTTATTCCTGAAATTTACGCGTTTTATAAGCATATTCATTATTGAAATTAAGATTACTATGGTAACGGCTAGAGCAATTGTTTAAAGAAAAGGGGCGTCTCTATATATATATATATATATATATATATATATATATATATATATATATATATATATGGTTGGATAGATGTGAGTTTGTGACCCTGGGTTTCACGCTTTTAGCGATTTGTCTGGCGATCGCTAAAGCGTGAAAAGGTCACAAAACTCACATCTATCCAACTAAATATGTTAGCTCTATCTCTGATATTGAGCGCTTTCTAATAAGTACCATATAATATATAAATAATTATATATATATATATTTATTATAAATAATTATACATATATATATATTTATTTATATTTATATACACACACTTTCACATATATATATATATATATATATATATATATATATACAGAGAGATAGAGATAGCGAGAGAGAGAGAGAGAGAGAGATGTACCAGGTGGAACAGTAAAATTGTCCAAATCGTGTAACAGAATGGAATAATTGTCCATCCCACAAAATGTTTAATACCTAAAAAATCACTAAACTAATTGAGTTTCTTTTTTCCGGGTTTTCTCATAAGACATTTAACCATCTTGACACCATTTGTCGTAAGAATCACTGAAAAACCATTTGAGTTATTCTGCTAGGAAGAGAAAAGGTTAAAATCGTTTTGTGTCAGTCCCACTATATCCTTCCCAACTGAGCCAACTGGATCGAACCAACGCCTTTATCCACTGTGCCATGTGTCCTTAATGGCATCTGTGTATGAATTTTCTGGGATTTATGAATTTAATGTCTTCAGCAATCATTTTTTACCAGTGCTCATATTGCAATTTTTTCTGTTATCGTTGCGAGCGAAATAAAGGGTTCAGTTCGACATTCCAACCACCTGAAGAAGGCCGGAGCGAACAACGGCCGAAACGTTGAGATAAATATGGCAATAAAGATGAGGACAATAGTCCGAATAATGTAAATAGTGAATATTCAAAGGGTCCGTAAGTTCCTATCAGAAAGTTCTCGTCTTGAAAGTTTCAAGTGCTTTAGCATATAGCAGGGAGAGAGAGAGAGAGAGAGAGAGAGAGTGTGTGTGTGTGTGTGTGTGTGTGTGTGAAACTATTGATAACTATAGCTTCAAATGCTTCAAATGAGGAAAGAATATCTGGAGACTTTAACACTCACAGGACACATAGAAGCAGAGGAAAGCAGCAGGTAACCTACTTGATAAGTTTGAACAAATGGATGGGGAAACAATTATTATTGAGAACAACAAAAGATCGAGCGATGATCACCCATATTCTGAAGTATAATAAAGACAAAGAGGGGTCGTAAAAGAGTGTGACGAAAGACTTTACGAGGAAGCTGTGAAGAGTCATGATTACTTACATCCCGAAGGACACAGTACAGAGAGAGAGAAAGGGAGAGAGAAATTGAAGAGATGATGCAAGTTCGATAACTCTTTTTGTTAGAGTTGTTTCCCTTGAATTTTTATTTATTTTTAAAATAGAGAAAAATATTGTTTGTTTCGGCTTCAAAAAGAGATATCCCTCGATTAATGCGCATTCAATTAGTGCGCTAACATTTTTATATAGCAAAATTCGAATAGTGCATACATAATACTCGATTAGTGCGGTAAAATATTCTTCAGATTTTTTGACCATAGTAATTGAAAATTGATTTTTTTTTTATAGTTAATGAGTAATCAAAAATTTTCTAAAGTTTAAAAATGGAAAATGGGTAACTATTTTGTTTGTCAAGTATTACGTTATGTAAGTAATTATTATTACAGTAGTTTAAAAAAAATGGACGGTTATAAACAGAAGCCGATAATAAAAATTTGAGTATTTGTCTCTATTAAAATTATTTGAATATTTTTTTCATGTTTATTTTGAAGGTCTTAAAAGTACATTTTTCATTTTTGTCAAAAATACAGAAATTTACATTTATTAAAAAATATCGAAATATAAAAGATGTATACATTTACTATAGAGAGATTATAAATCAAATTTTCAGGTTAAAATGCTGATGATTATGATATGTTTGGTAAATTTGAAGGAAAAATTTCTCAGTACCGCCAATTATATGAAAAACAGAAGAATACCATGCGGCAAGCCACTAAGTAAATTTTTCGTAAAAGTCGATGAATAAACATTCATGGCATTTTCATTGTATCTTCTTATATGTACCTATATTTTAATTAAAAAGTACACAAATTAGAAATTAACTGTGAATGAGACTAAAATTTGAGATACAAATTACATCATTTTTTAAGTTATTATATTCGATTAATGCGTTTTCGATTAGTGTGTATCTTTTAAGTTTTAATGTACACATTAGCCGCACTAATCGAGGGATTCCTGTATACTGTTTTATTTAATGAGAAATTCCTTGAAGATTACATTACTTGTCAAAAATGTATAAAAGGTGGGGGTGTAAGCAAATCGTTATTATTGCTTGAATTCAGAAGTTTCGCACAAGTTGTAACTGATGACTTTCACGTGAGATCAAGTATATCATTTCCCAGTGTTTCAGCAGCACTCTGTATTTAGCTATCTCTTCACGGTGACAAACTACCCCCGCCTGAATCTGTGAAACGTCCCCCCCCCCCACTATACTACATTTTCATAAGATAGTATTTATATAGAATACAAATTTCATTATTTTAACCTAATTATGTATAATAATGGATCATATGCAATATAGATGAACAATTCAAGTAGAAAAATTTTAAATAAATATGTATTTAAATACAAATTAGACACATGTCATAATAGATCATTACATCTTAAATAAATCAACAATATTTTGCAGCAGATTTTAACATCAACTTGAGAGTTTTCTTGTTAAAAACTTGAATAATTTTAACGCATTCAACATTATGGATTAAAAAAAAATAGTGAATTTTATATAACGTGTTTTTAGACCCCCCACAAAAAAAATAAAAAGAATAGCAGAAAAAAGCAGTAGCATCAGAAGCAGTAGCAGCAACAGAAAAAGAAGCAAAAGCAACACCATGAAAAGCAGAAGCAGCAGAAGAAGTAGCAACAGCAGAAGCAGCAACAGCATCAAAAGCAGAATCAGAAGCAGCAGCAAAAGAAGCAGATCGGAAGATTAGATGTTTTGAAGAGCCTAGAACCACTTCTTAATTGCTGTTGTCCCCAGATCCACCATGACCCGGGGGGGTAGCACCTGTTAGGTTCTCAGCTATGGGGAAATAGTCAGCTCCCAAACAAAACACTGAGAAAGTATAAAAATACATTTTAATAGCAAATATACCAGCAATATATTTTTATATATAAAAACAATGACCAAAACACTTTATAGAAAAATGACCAATAGACCTTCTGCCGTTGAAGAAATACAATCGTGTTA